TGGGCCGGGTACCCAGATATGGACTCTTCGTGGGTCCCAGAAAACGACATAAACGCCCCACGTCTCCTAAGACGATTCCATAGAAACAATCCCCATAAAGTACGCTTAAAAAGAAACCACTAACGAATGTCTACTTTCTTTTCCCTACAGGCAGACACCTGGTAGGGGGAGCCGCCTGTCGAGCGGCACAATGCACTCGACATCATGCTTCGGACTGCGGATCAGCGGTCCTAATGGGTCGGGTGGCGGTAGGGCACAGGGTGCTGGTGAAGGGGTTAGGTTGCGACTAGGCATCCTTCTACACGGGTGTGCATACCGGGGTCGCGTAGGTGTAGGGAGGGTCTACAAGCAACACCAAGTCCATCGGAGGCCGGGGCGTCTGACGTCATTGCTGCGCGACCGGCATCAGTTTCCGCGGGGATTTAAAACGTCGGATTCTCCCAGCTGCGGATGCTTAGAGCTCAGCGCCAGCCCTATAAAGGGCTCGGATACCGGCTCCTAGTAGCCGCGTCTTTGTTTGTGACACATTCCGGTTTCCACCGTGTGCTGTAGACAATCATTAAACCAGGAGACTCCAAGCCCTAGCCTGTGTGTTTCTTGGGTCTTGGTGTTCCGGACCAGGGGAGGCCGAGAAATGGGATATACTGGCCGTTCAAAGTAGCAGCATTGAATTATTCTCTTCTTATTCTTTCCCCTAGTCTTGGAATTATATTTCCAGATGGTAAGTATTACTCCCAAGGGACTTTCTGGGGGAATCTTTGGATTTTCTGGGAACTGATTTCCCTTCTTGTCTTTATCTGCTTTACTCCCTCTGTTTCCCATTTTAGAGACCACACTATCTCAGAGTTTAATCTAACACTCGTTTCGCTCATCTCTGACTGGCACTCTCGTGAGACACCAGAAATGCAGATTGGAGCTCCCTTTCATTTGGTACTCAAAGTACCTCTCATGCATTCATCAATCAGGTCTCATAGACACAGAGAATTTTTCCCAACCACCAGGGTAAAACTTAAAAGTCCAGTTGATGTTACTCTGGTCTGTGCACAGAGTTTTTCCGGTTGAATTACAGAATTATCAAGGTGTTCACCTCTCAGAAAGTTTATTGCCTTTGCTGTTTACAAGTCTGATCTCTGTCACTCATGGGATACCGTAGGCAAAGGAAATGGAGGCCCCAGAGTTCTTGGAGGACCGCTGAACTCAACGGGATATGTCTTCCTCACTTGATCCTGATGCCTCCTTGAATCCTAGAGCCGTATTTATCCCGGAAGAGTCCCCAAGACTCTGATAATCAGTTCTAATAGTATATTGTAGTTCAATAGTATATTGAACTACCTGAGACTTTACTTGAAATCAGCAAAGAGTTTAATAACATGTTAAGCACTCATTCTATCTCCCTCTTCCCTTCTCCTTTTCCTGTTTCTTTCACAGCTCTTAGTCTAGATAACTTTTGCTCTTCTACTTGCAGTTACAGCTGGCATTTTTGCGGTTTCTTATTTCTATGTAAAAGCTTATACTTTTCAAAACAGCTTATAATTCTATTTCTTATATAAAGCATTGCAGAAACAATACACATTTTAGAAACAATACAAACTCCATTTTGTTTTACATATAATGATTATATTGATTATGTATTTCCATCACTCAAAGGTTTCTCCATTTTCTGGAGCTTGCTATAGTCATATTGGTTTCATTTTTAGTCAGCAACAAGTCAGATTTCAACAGAGCAGATGCTTCCTGGTTAGTTTTTCTCTTATTGAGGAGTTTCATTACAAGCCCTATTCTAGAGATGAGAAAATCACAAGACGTCTGGGTAGTCGATTCTCTGCAGTTCACTTTTATCATACGGATCAAGTGGGCAATTAGGCTCTTCCTAGGCTCATTAAGGATGAGGTGTGCCAACTGTTTTTGCACCTCAGCTTCAAAAACATTGTCCTGAAGAAAAAAGTTATCAGTGCTTGACAAAAAGTCAGATAAAAAGGGAGCAGAGGTGATTTGTTCCTGATACTCCCAATGCACTTCATTGGACAATGTTTTATCAGGCAACAGTTTGTTCAAAGTTTCAGGCTCTTCAGTAGTAATTCTGGAGTTCCTTCCTCCAATTATTAAATGCCTGAAAGTCACATTCGGCCACCTCTTAATCTTCAGGGCTTCTGAAATTTCTGTAGCCACTTCCTTTTGAATCTCGAACTCCTGAGTTTTCTCTTTGTTTCCTCTCATTTTGTCTTTAAGAGGAGTCACCTTCGGCCCTTTACTAAGCTTCAGCACTTCTGAAATTTCTGTAGCCACTTCCTTTTGAATCTCGAACCCATGAATTTTCTCTTTGTTTCTTCTTATTTTTTCTTTGAGAATCACCTTCAGCCCAGTATTAACCTTCAGATCTTCCAAAATTTCTTTAATCACTTCCTTCTTCTTCTCAAACTTATGAGTTTTCTTATCGTTTTCTCTTATTTTGTCTCTGAGAATACTCTTCAGCCAGTGCGTAATGTTAAGATCATCTATAATTTCAATAGCCACTTTCACATGACTCCGCAATTTCTCTTTCTTTGACTCATGAATTTTCTCCTTGTTTCTTTTGATTTTGTCTTTGACAGTCACCTTCGGCCACCTCTTAACCTTCAAAGTTTCTGAAAGTTTTCTAGTCACTTCCTTTTGGATCTCCAACTCATCAGTTTTCTCTTTGTTTTCTGCAATTTTTGCTTTGGTAGCCAGAGGCACTTGTTGCCCTGCAAGCTTCCACTGTTTTTCAGCCATTGTATGTGAATTATGTTTTACTTGATCTTCTGCAAGTTTTCCTGTGGCTTCTGCTAATCCTCGCCTCTTTGTTGGTAACCTAACAGCTAAGTCTTTCTTTCTTTGATTTTTTTGAAGCCATTGATTTATCTGTACCATATTCTGATTGTTCTTTAACCCTTCTAGATAGCTTTTTGTCTGCAGGTTGATGTTCCTAGAAACTTCCAAAATTTCTGTTCTTAAATCCTTTTGGACCTTCAGCTCTTGAGTCTTTTCCTTTTGGGTTATTTTTGCTTTGGGAGCCATTTGTAGGATGTTGGATGATTTGTACAGTTCTTTCAGCAGATTTCCATGAGATCCCGTTTCATCCAAATATTCATGAGGAGTTGATTTAGTTAATCTACTCCAGAATTTTAAAATTGATGATGTAAGTAATTCAATGGAATGACCAAGTGTCTCCCAAATATGAACATCTTTTTTTCTTTGGTTTTTTTGAAGCCATTGATTTCTCTCTACCATATGCTGATCGTTCTTTAACCCTTCTAAATAGCTTTTTGTCTGCAGGTTGATGTCTCTAGAAACTTCCAAAATTTCTGTACTTAAATCCTTTTGGACTTCCAACTCTTGAGTCTCTTCCTTTTGGGTTATTTTTGCTTTGGGAGCCACTTGTAGGACATTGGATGATTTGTACAGTTTTTTCAGAAGATTTCCATGAGATTCTGTTTCATCCAAATATTCATGAGGATTTGATTTAATGTTTGAAGCTGGGCATGGAAGTATGAATCCATCCAACCTTTCAAAAAATATCAGAATCCCAACCAGGAAAATTTGGGTCGCAAAGGGGACAACACATCTCATGATGCCCATCCTTCTTGCTCTTTTTACCCAAATGAAGGATGCCTTGCAATATTGCAGCCAACAATTGAGGTGATTCTATGCAGTTACCAAGCAACCACATGTTATTCTATATGGAGGCTGCAGAATAATGCCACTGCTGTTTAGTTTACCATGATTCATGACATCATAGAATTCCAAAAACCATGGCAACAATATAGGTAGTGCTCTCTTTTATAGATAATGAGTTGATTTTATGAGACCACTCAGATATTTGTGATTAATGTTTTTGGGTCGGAGTCACAGTAGGGAATACCATCTGCTTCCACTGGGAAATCAGATCGTGAGGCCTGGCTATCATTTTTCAGCTACTAAAACAAATTACTGCACATTATTACAGCTATAAAAAACGGGATAAGCAGTTGAGGAAGGAAAGTAGTAGGACTTTAACTTATATACCTCCCCGTAGTGCTTCACAGCATTTTTTGGGCAATTTACAATGTCAGCATATTGCCCTTAACAGTCTGGGTCCTCATTTTACCAACCTCAAAAAGCTGAAAAGCTGAGGCAACCTTGAACCATTCATGATCAAATTCCAACTGTGGGCAGAGTTAGCCTGCAATAGTGTACGTAAGATAATCATCCAAGAAGAAACATCAGATAAATGATAAACAGAAATTCCTGTGAAACACACAGCTATCTTCCTTAACAAAAGTTTATTGTATTTGTGTCACATTGCAAGCAACCCAAATCCTGGGAGTTTATATGATGAATACCATCTGTGGGACAATTTACAATACTCATGGTAAATCTAAAAACATAAAATCAACTTGAGAATATTAAAAATGACAACTCGGGGGGGGGAAGCAGTAACAGCAAAAGTGACCCCGAAATAGTTAAAATGTTTTCCAGAACAGCTTGATTTTTTACATCTGCCTGAGTACAGTCTGGGACATCAGCCTGATTTCCAAAGGAAGACTTTTCAAAAAAAACAAAAACAAAAACCAGTTAAACTGAAAAGCAATCCCTCCTGGCTTGCTTCACATTTATCACACTTGGGGATGATAAAGACTAGGGATATTTGTGGGGAGGAGGGATGATGCTGATGGTATCTGCATTTAACTGCCATGGCAAACAGAAACATCCTTGTATCAAATGTCCTACAAGTAAATTGATTGCTGGTGGCTTTTGGGTGATTAAATCACCACATGCTTATTATTTTGCTATAACTGCTGTTGATACAAATATCCTCCCCAGAATCTACCTTTGAAGAAAAGGAAGAGCCAGCCCAAAAATAAATAATTAGGGACTTAACAGCTAATTTAAATTATTTGCCTGCATAATAGATTGCCTCCATTTATAACGTTGACTGATCTCTATCTATGTCCCCTGATAATTCTTACGTACTGAAACTTCTCTCACACACACAAACACAGGCACAGCGACCCTGGGACCTGCTACAGTTGTTCCTTAGTCCTGACAAGAAAAAGAGGACAATAGAGTGAGATGGGAAGCTGGACTGGAGAGAAAGGTCAGAAAAACTTGAGCAGGGAAAGGAAAAAATAACTGGAAAGGGAGAAAAAATGCTACAAAAGAGGAGATTTCAGCCCAATTACCAAGCCTGATCTCAAGGGCATCCATTCTTTTCAACAGCAGTATTTGCCAGTATTTGCATCTCTTGCTCCTTCCTTTCTTTTCAATGGTTTCTACTATTCTTAGCTGCCCATTCCCTCAATTCACAATGATCTGGGGGTGGGGGCAAAAAATCGCCCTTTTCTATTAGTAAGTCATTTATTGGAAAAATATAAAAATAATACTGTCTTTTCAATCATCATTAATTATAAATAGGCAATTAGTCTTTTCTTGGAAGAGTGCTACCTTTTATTGGTAGCTTGCATTTGGTAGCTTCATCACCCAAATGCTCTAAAAAGAAAGAAAATCAATTTCCTGGCCAGATAATGTGCTTAGGAGAGAAGAGGATTCCTTTCTAGATCAACAAGAAGGAAACAGAATCTTTGTCAATAATCTGGTATACTCTCTTCGTGTTAAAATTGCGTAAGATCTCCTTTTCTCCTAGAGCAGGGGTGTCAAACTCAATTTCATTGAGGGCCACATCAGGGTTTGTTTGACCTTGGGTGAGGGGGCAGTGGGGGCATGGCCAGGTTGGATATGGCCAGCTGGATGTCACTCCTGTCAGGGGCGCCTGTGATGACACAAGCATTCTGCTAGTGAAAATGGGCTCCCGAGATCTGTTTTCAACTGCCACGGCAGGGGTGGGTTCTACTACTGGTTCTGTAGGCGTGGCTTATTTTGTGGGCATGGCTTGTGGACAGGTAATGTGATTGGGTGGGCATGGCCAACTTTCTTTCTTTTTTTTTTTTACTTTTAAAAGCATTTTTTCTACAACCAGGCAAATCAGCTGTGATCGGCAGAGGCTTTTAAAGGCATTTTTTTCCTACAACCCCTTCGGCTGAAGAGGTTGCAAGAAAAAAATGCTTTTAGAAGCTTCTGACAATCAGGCAACTCAGGTGGGATCGCCAGAGGCTTTTAAGGGTATTTTTTTCCCTACAAGCTCTTCGGCCGAAGAGGTTGTAGAAAAAATGCTTTTAAAAGCCTCTGAGATCATGGCTGAGCCGCGCGATCATCAGAGGCTTTTTAAAAAACTTTTAAAAGCATTTTTTTCAGCCGAAGAGGTTGTAGACAAAATGCTTTTAAAAGTAAAAAAAAAAAAAAAAGCTTCTGATGAGGTGGGCGGGGTAAGCGAGTGGCGACCAGGGTGGGGACCAGTTCGGGGGCATGGCCAGCCAATGTTATTATTGGTTCTCTGAACTACTAAAATTTTTTACTATCAGTTTTTGCGAACCAGTCCAACCTGGGAGCAACCCACCACTGTGCCACGCCTCCTGCAACTCTCTTCCAGTGAAAACGAAGCTCGGGAAAGCCACATCAGGGTTGTGTTTGACCTTGGCACTTGGCCCTCCCAAGCTCTGTTTTCACTGGAAGAGGGTTGCAGGAGGCCATGGCAGCCGAAAATAGAGCTTGGGAGCTCATTTTTGTTGGCAGAAGCACCACGGGCCAGTCCTTCACTGTTTCCAGAGTGGCCCCATGGGCCAGATCTAAACAGTGGTGGGATTCAAATTTTTTAACAACCGGTTCTGTGGGCGTGGCTTGGTGGGTGTGGCTGGGTGATCATGTGACTGGGAGGGTGTGGCCAAGTGGTCACGTGACTGGGTGTGCATGGCCAACTCGACATCACTCATATCAAGGGGCATTTTGCCCAGCCCCCCCTCCTAGCCACTCCTTGTCACCCCCAACCTCAACGTATTTATAGTTCTGTAAAATATTGTTCACTTTTTTCGACTTTATTATCTGTATCTACATACTATAGATATACTTTCATGGACCACTGAAAGGAGGAAATGGCTCACATGCTTTGCCCAAGAGTGTGATAGGCAGGTCACAAAACAGGGTTTTGAGGGGCTGCCACAAAGAAGGGGGGCAACGTATTTTCCAAAGCAGCAGAAGGCAAAACAAGAAACAATGGATTGAAACTGAAGAGAGAAGCAACCTAAAACTAAGGAGAAATTTCCTGACAGTGAGAACAACTAATGAATGGAACTGCTTGTCTTCAGAAGTTCTATGTGCTCCAACACTGGAGGTTTTCAAGAAGAGACTGGAAAGCCATTTCTCTGAAATGGTCTAGGGTCCCCTCCAAGGTCCCTTCTAAGTATTATTCTGACACCTTTCCCAGGCCCTCCACTCAGATTTGGCATCCTCAGTTTTCCTGCCTGAGCAGGGGGGTTGAACTAGAACAGAGGTCTTCAAACTTGGCAGCTTTAGGACTTGTGGACTTCAACTCCCAGAATTCTCCAGCCAGCATAGCATAGCTGGCTGGAGATTTCTGGGAGTTGAAATCCACAAGTCTTAAAGCTGCCAAGTTTGGGGGCCCCTGGACTAGAAGACCTCCAAAGTCCCTTTAAGCTCTATAATTCTGTTATTCCTAAACTAAATAGCTAAGACCAGTGGTGGGTTGCTACTGGTTCTCCCCAGTTTGGGGAGATCGTGCGCAAAGCGCATGCACGAAATGAACCGGTGGTAATACGGGTTAGAACCCACCACTGGCTAAGACACTCATTGGGACCCTATCTCTTTTGCTCGCTCTGGACTAATGAGTTAAAGAGCTGCCTCTAGACATTCCTTTTAATAAGATTTTTAGAAACCTGCAGTTGAAAGTTCTTCATGTCTCTTTATCCTGAAGACCCAATTTCATTTGGAATTTAATCCCAAACTGATTGCCCTTTTAGAATTTCTCTTGACACTTCTCCAGAATGCATCCCCAAGAAGCCACATCTCTCTCCCTCTCCCCCCCCACCTCTCTCTCAGACACACAGAGGTTGGATTGGATATCTCTCTCCCACCCTCCTTCCCTCTCTGCTTTAGGCTTAGAAAGTCTGCCAGTGCTGCTCCTCATTTGGCAATACTTAAGGAGAATTAAGGGCTAGAGACAGTTGACATTCTCATCTCTGCTACAGGTGAGGCTCTCAGAAAGACTTTTTGGCAGGCACGCAATGCCTTCTCTTCACTGAGAGGTGCAACTCTACTGCCTGGGGAGGCAAAGCATCTCATTTTGTACAAACCATTTGCAGGGTTTTTAAAAAAAATTATTTTCCCTACAGGGGAGGGGGGGAAGGGCACCGAAATGGGAAGCGTGCCTCTGCCTAGGGGGAGACTCTCCACCCCGCAAATACTGATGGCTTGCAAGCGGCTCCTCTGCCACCACCCCCATTCCCCCACTGCATTCCCCAAACACCTCCCCCCATTGCAAATGTGGTGTGCCGTTTGGGTGGGAGATGCCTGGAATACAATAAAGCCCACCAATTCACCTCCTGCTGGCAGGCTGGCTAATGGGGTGAGAGGAGAGGCAGGGGAGCTGATCAGAGCCCTCTGAAAGAAGGGGCCTGAGGGTAAGTGCATGTGCTATAGCATGCTGCAGATGCTCTCACTCGCCCTTTGGCTGGCTTCCCTCCTCCTGCAGTCTCCTCAGTGCTCGCTCATGTTCCCCCTCCCCAGTCTAACTTGATCGCAGATGGAGCCACATTGCCTTTTGCAAGCCTGCTGTTGGAGAAGCCGGTAACAGCTAGCTTTTTGCATAGTTTTGTCCAGCTGTCGGGGGAGCATGGCTTCCTCCCCAGGCCCCCATCCATTTTTTTCCTCAACAGCCGGACAAAGCTAGGCAAAAAGCCATCCCTCACCAGTGCCCAGCTTCTCTGACAGCAGGCTTGGAAAGGGCAATGTGAGCTTCTGCCTGCATCAATCTAGACTGGAGAGGGAGAGAGCATGAGTGAGCCAGAGGCCCTTCTCTCAGCCTTTGTCCAAAGCCCCGCACTGCACCAGGAGGCTGAAATTTGAATTTCTTCCCCCCCTCCGACCCGCCCATACCTTGGCAATGGGACTGTTTCTTTCTGCCCCCTTTTCCAGCTGCTGGATCAGAGGGACAAATCTAGCTTTGCTGCCCATCGCAGCCAGGAATCTCAAAGCCAAGAATTAATGTTTGTGCTACAACCAGTCCCTAGATCGGCCTCCTGCAAACTCTGTCTCTCGAGAAGCCTGGCCAAACTTTTGTGTGCCACTTGCTGAGGCGGAGGGTGGGATTGGAGCTTATAGGTAGCCAAACTAAGTGCCCAAAGGACCCCATCCATCATCAGGAGTCCTAGTGCCTCAGCGAATGAAACTTCAGCTGGGCTCCTCGGAAGACAACGGAGTTTTGCAGGCCACCTGCCTAGCTAGTGCCCAGATTGGCTGCCACACAAGCATTCATTCTGGGCTTTATTTGAGATTCCTAGCTGCAATGGATAGCAAAGCTAGGACTGACCCTGGCCAGCTCATTTAGGGAGCCTTTGCTCATTGGGAGGGCTGTGCGGCAAGAGAAAAGGCATTGCATTTCACTTTGCAAGAGCGGAGCAAAGCCTCTTTGCAAGAGGGCAGCAAAACCAGTGATGCTTCAGCCTGCCTGCTGGCTGGCCTCTGTATTCCCCCTCACTCCCAAGGCAGTCGGGTAGCACAACACAAGGCCACAGAGGCTTTATAGTGTTTGTGGGACGACGGGAGAGTGCTGCTGCTGCCGTTCCACAGGGCGGGGGGGGCAGCTGGGAGGTCAGGCACTCCTACAACCTGACCAGATGGACGAGGGCCAGCTAGTGGAGGGTGATCATTCCTTTGCTCACGGGTTTGGGCTAGGCTGGCTGGCTTGCATGATGGTGGCAAGGATCACTGCTGGGGGGTGGGTGCCCTTACCCAGATGGCTCCAAAATTAAATGCGGAAAGCGGCATACCACAAGAGGGAGACCTGCTCCAGACTTGCCCGTTCAGCTGAAGGCTCACCTTGGGGGCAACATGGCAAAGCCATTGTCAGAGATATCAGCCTCATCCGAGGCAAGTGGCTGGGAGGGGCAAGGGGCGTGGCTGGGCGTGGTTAGCTACCGGTTCAGGCGAACCGATGCGAACTGGCTGAATCCCACCACTGGATCTAAGTA